CATAAGATTTACGGTCCTATAAGACAAAAATAACCACTCGTACACTAAACATAGGCCGACAAGTCCATACAATCTTTTACATACATGACATCTGTCTACAAGCCTCTAAGAATATATAATTGTCATAAAGGTCAGGACAGTGCCCCGCCATACCAAACAATACGCGTCTAAATCACACTGACCAAACAAGCAACTCCGAGGCAAATGGAGTGCACCAACATCTTCCGCTGAGCTGATAGCCTACTTGTAGGACTCTCGACCTATCTATCAGGACATGTGGGCATGAAACGCAGCATCCCCAGGCAAAGGGATGAATGTACCAAGTATGTAAGGAATGAAAATTAGTAAAGAATAGACATGAGAAAACATGGAGTAAAAGACTCGACATGTATGTCTGAATAGCTCTGTGAAAGATTTAAAACTTGTAATGTCATGCATATGCGTATAAATTTCATACCATGCATGGGTATATGCATTCATAACATCATCAAGCCTCTGAGGGCATCCCATTATATCATCTCGGCCACTGTGAGAAAATATCAACGTATACCAGTTGTTCAGGTGGTGGTGCGTATATAACACTGTAACCTTTTGCCATATTCCATATCCATATATATGCGTATATAATGCCATCTGGTTATGGGTCAACGTTAATGTATAAATGAATGCAATGCATATGAAATACGTCAATAAAATCTCTCGAAATGTCATAGGACCATTACGCCTTTGATTAATATCATGAAATAAACTTTATCAACTTACATATTTTCTGAGAACCATGAACAAATGATAGAATAATATTACACATGGGGAATCAAGAACATAAGCATATCTAGTATTTTTATGAATAGAGTCATTTATGAAAATTGTGCATTTGCTTGTTTCGTTTGTGTCGTTTAGATCATGCCAAAAGGAAAGAGGGGATAGCCTTAACATACCTGAACCGATTCTCTTTTGCAAAAACATGTAACAGTGGATCAAAGTAGGGAAAATTCCGTATGATATTCTTGAGAAAGTGTGTACCGGGCTTTCTTTGAATTAGCATTTCACGTTTGACCTTGTAGCATTTTGGAGAATTTCACGTTGGACTTTGTAGCTTCATCCCTTCAGAATTTCATGTTGCACCTTGTAGCATTTCAGTTTGGACATTGTCATTTCTCTTTAATAATGTAGGAAGATGGTTCCTTTTATCAAAGAGAGTGGGCCCCACTTTGTATGGTGACTAAGCTAACTAACCTCACTAATTTGCCACCTTAAAGTGTGACTTAAGAGTCACTTATTACCTACTCCCTTGGCTGCCACGTCAAGGCATTTTAAGCTTACCCATAATTTAAATTAATTATCCACTAATCTCTTGATTAACTTGTTAATCTCCCACTAACAAATAATTACCCAATTATTCACATAATCAAGAATTATCTCAAGTTACTCAAACTATTACTCACTTTTAATACACTTTATACATCTTGCTATCATGGTCATGTGGTACCTTGTATGGCATTAGTCCATAAATACGGGGTATTATAGCTCGGACCGTATTTTATCCCAAAATGTCAAACTTCGACGAAACTCGTTTTCTTTGATTTGCTTACCCTTTCACCTTCACGAAATTACTTATCACTTGTTTGAAATATAATAATACTTATCATTCCAAAATAATCTAATTCACGAACATACGTCGATTAACTTACGACGAAACCTTAACGTACAAAAATGCGGGATGTAACATATTATTTTCGAGCTTACACCAATTTATTTATGGCGTACTTTCACGTACAAAAAACATATGGGGTCTAACATTATTCCCCCCTTTGGAACATTCGTCCTCGAATGTTGACTGATGCACTTATCATTCTCATAACCCATAGCTCTTGTGAATACCGTAGTACTCCTCTTGCCATCTAGGCAACTGTTATGTGAATGAATCCTAAAGGCCAGGGCATTCCCCCCTTTAGGCCTCTTTCTAACACCACGACTCGTGGTCGGAATCCTTCCAATCTTGTAACTGTTGCCACCTTTTATCATCCAGCCTGTACGACTCTGACTTTATATGTGCGCCTATGCGACTCCTCTCTGCTTCTTCCTCCAACTTTTAGCCAATCTCTAGACCTCACTTTGTAAACATATACAGAACTTAATAAGATGTTCCTCTGGGCATCTATAAGTATACTGAAGTTCTTCGCTCGGTACTTTGTTGAACTTACGAATATTGCTATATAATATTTCATAAATCCGTTTATCCATCCGTATGACTTTACTGCTCTAGGTAGGTCATACTATACCATAACTCTTACTTCGATTAATAGTTACAGAGGTCTGCTACCAAACTCCAGGTTACTCTCGTTACTTATCCTATATGCATAAAACTAAGTCTTTTAACGCTTCTTCATTATTGTTCATCTTAAGACTGATGGCCTAATCTCGTCTCGTACTTTGTATCTTTTATCCATCCATTATCGATTCACTTCAATGTTGATCTTACAATCTTCCATTGATAACTTGAAACTTCTTACGTAATACATTGCCGCTAGGGCTTATGTTGGATCGAGGAATATTTGAAGTGATTTTCCTGATCCACTTAGGGGAGATACTGTACTTCAATAATCGTATTTTATAGTATCCCAATGCGATTCACCTTACATGGGTATTTTAATTCCCGTGCAATTCATGCAATCCTCTTCAAGTCATTACTCAATCGAAGGACCAAACGTCATCCTTTATCTATCACAATCACACCCTCATTCTAGAGTAGCATTCCATTTCTTCTAAATGCTACTAGTCTTAGACTCCTTTTAGTTCATTCAGGCTATACTGGGATTTCTATATCTTAGAGAAACCATCATCTCTCTTGTTTTCACTGGCTTAATCCCGAGGACTTATCCATACTTGCCCTTTCTTATCCTTACTCTTGTCTTCCTAAAACCTTGTCGATTTACCATACTTTAGCTTGCTACCTACCCATATCTATTTATAGTGTTCGTAACCTTCCTTCAAGTTGCTTGCACCATAGATTTCCTTGTGTTATTCTGGAACATCAAGCGAGGTATCACATCGTTTCTAACTCTTCTTTACTCTCGTAACCGGACCTCTCGATACCTAGAAATCATCTACTGAGAGATATGTCACTGACGACGCCGCTATCATTTCTGGATACTAAATCCTCGTGCTTCTAGCCTTCTATCTGCTATACGGACTATTCCCAACCTTCTACATTTAAGTATCTCGTACGTTGTTCACGTTTACCTTACTTACCTTAAAATCTCACATCATATCTTTTATCTCTTTCATGACCTCCCTTTCACATAGGTATAATTCATATCCACAACTTAAAGCTCTATTATAATACTTGCACCTCTGGTGTATGCACAATCCGGTGGGAGCTTCATACTGACTTCTTATAAGACTGGTACTTTTCTGACTGGCTTTATCATAGAGCCGTTATAGAATATGGCTAATGTACTATCTCTCTTGTATTTAAGAGTGATCCTGCAATATTCTCAATCATGAGGTCTAAAAGGTTCTTGGTCCAATAATCACACTCCTGATTTACTGAGTTGATGTAACTCTTTAGTTTCCTCTTCCTTCTAATCAGCCTTCATGTAGGCTTAAACTATTATCCGATATGAGGCTACTGGGATTAGTTATTACGTTAGCCTTTCATGGGCACTATGGACTATCCATGACACAATTGTCTAACAATTCAACCCTTTGTCTATGCCCTGGGCTCAATTCTTTCTTTTACTTATACCGGAGTCTTCTACAGCTGTATGATTGTCACATATATGATGCATGGATAATACTCCGAAATCTTACGTGCATTCATAACGTAACTCACTCTGGATCACTGATCGAATAATTCCTTTCGTTCCTTCTCCAATTTCTTTAAATATAAGCGATTACTTTTCCCGGTCGTTTTTCCACTTGTTGCATGTATACTTGGCTTATCTTAGTTCCCACGCATGCCAAAATTTTCATGCAACTCATATGATCTCGAATACTACTTTTGATTTTTCTTCCCATTCCTTAGCCACGGCAGGTGCCACTTCCTTATGGAGTGCATACAATGTTGTTGTGAAACTATTGTTACAAGACCATTTCCTCCTTAGGTTACTGAGCTTAGGTTGAAGCCTTATTCTTTACTTCCTCAGCTAGTCATTCATTGTAGTATTTAGGGAGGATCCTCTGATTCTTGTAAAGCTGTGAGCTTATCACATCGTATACCCGATGGAATTTTTGATGTCCTTCCTCACCTATAATTACCCGTAGTAACTTACCTCCGCGCCCTTATTCTTGTAGGGTTGCTTGTGAACTTATATTTTGACTGTCTTCCCAATGGGACTCTCTTTTATTTCCGTAACACTCATACGGTACCTTTACTACCCTAACTCCTATCTGAATATTTTTGAAGGATCACAATGTCGTATCTTCGAGACTGAATTCCCCATGTTGGGGTTCACTATGTTCTTCTTGCACAATCTATTGATTTGTTTGTGTCCTCTTATTTAGCCGTAACTACTTCCTACGTTCTATAGACAACTTAGCATTTTGTTAGTATTATATTGAGCATACATATTGATAAACCTGTAAAAAGAAATAAGTTTTCTTCTACGTAATTGAGGCACGTACGGCAGATGAATGTGAGTCACAAAACCTGCAGACGACTATAATATCCATGATCCATCTCACAATAATTTTCAGAATGTTTCATACACAAGAAGGTACTATAGATCCATTAATGGATTGATTGAATAAATCCCAGTACAGAATGGACATACACAAGGGACTAAATTCCTCTGATGGACTGAAGTACTGAATGGGCTTACCCATACCATATCAGCCCATTTACAGCTACTTGTTACTTGCACACAAACTTGGACATATTTGAATTAAATCCATATAATTCCAAATAATCACTAATCTTGGCCAGAATTAGTACCTCTACAAAATTTTGGCGCCAATCTGAAGAAATTGGAAAAACAGAAAAAGCAGACAGAGATACGACATGAGAAGAAGAGAAAAGATTAGGAAATTGAAAAACTTTAGTCCATGTTTCCTAATCCTCTTTCCCTTAGCTGCTACTACTATATACAATATATGCTCATTTACAGGACTCAATGACTAGAAGTGACTCTATATCACAGCTTCAATCATTAAAAAAACTTGAACTGCGATGCATGAGACTTTTTGCCACTATCTTTTTATCTACTGAGAGAAAGTATGTTGAGCAGAGACACCCTTGTGCGAATCAAAAGCCTAAACAACATCTCCAATCCATTTTCAAGATCCTCAATGCTACCCTCCAAATTCTCCAGATTTCTTTGTGCAAATTCAAAACTTTCCACTTCCTCTTCATGCCCAGAACCAGAAGCATGGTCCAACAAGTTGTTCAGTGCAGTGTCAACTTTCTCCAGCTCAGTCAGTTTTTCCCTCTGCCCTTCACTGCCTAACACCCCTTTGTGCACAATCTTTGAAACCAATGACCATTTATTGGACTTTGGTTTCGACGCTGGAACAGAAAGAAACATTAGCAATGATTGAAAGGTAGAAATGGTTGTGAAACTCGCATCTTCAAGGACCCTTATTATGGCAGAAAGCTGAGATTCTGTGTTTGTGGCTGATGGGGTATTATCTATCTGTTTCAACTTAGTAAGAGACTTTTCAATTTCCTTCTGAGTGTTTTTTCTTGAAGAAATATAAGCAGTAATACTGCCCTCAATGGTAAAAAAATCATCCCCTGCTTTGCTTCTCCTAAGCGCAGATTGAAGTTCTCTTATGCTTTCCTTCAAACACATAACAGTATCCCTTGTGTTGCTGCAAATATCTATGAATCTAACAGATCTTTCCAGTAATTCCTTCACAAAATTGTCATCTTGATACTGAAGAAGTGCCCTCTGAGTCATTGGCAGCGCAAGGAGTTCCTCTATGCACTCGTATAATTCCACAAGGCCAGATAAAGCATTGTGTGTTTTTTCTGCTGCTTTTGGAGATAAAGGAGAAGATGATTCCCAAGTTTTAATCTTGTTAAGAACTTGCTCAATCTTGATAGTGCTAGGATGTGATCTAGCAGGAAAGCTAACACAACGGTTACGATAAGGACTATGAGAGTGAGACCTAGGGGAAAGTGCAGCCATTGTTCGAATTGTTGAGAGGTTCATTTTTCAAATTGTGTTATGTTCATGAACATTCCTTAGCTTCTTTTTATATGCAAAAACTATTTGGAAGCAGACAAAAGGTAGGAGAAATGCATAGTTAATTTGTACTATTGTGTCAATGTGATGTACATGTGAAGCCAATGTGGGTTTTTTAATTTCTTTTGTAATGGTTCTATCTGTCAAGGCTTCAACCAACAAACAAGAGTACCACTTTCATACTATCTCAGTCATACTTTAATAATGATTGGGATAGGGCATATCTCTCTTTAGTTTATTTTATTATTTAATGGATTTATGTAGTACAAACTTAAGAGTTTTTAAGTTTATATTTTATCACCTTTCTCAAGCATCTAGACCACCGCCAACTCGGGCTTAACAAAGGTTCATTCATCCAGAAAAGTCGGTTGACATAGATTAATGGGGTGGGCTCCCAAAAGTGTCTGGATTGGAGGAACTTTGGCATTGGATATTAAAGCATATAGAAAGATTGAATTTAGAGAGAGAGTGAGATCTAGAGATATCAATAAGTACTGCATATGGTGGTTAGAAGATATAGTTGGATATTGTGATGGTTAAGACAGCTCATGAAGATACAAGGTTGTTGTGCACGAGTGCCATGTTCTTTCACTGTTCCCACGTCCACGTACCTGCCTAAATAATGTTGTCAGTTATACCACGAAAAATGACGGACTATAAGTTTGTAATTTGGTTCCTAAACCTACTTTTTCATTGCATTGACCTTTTGAGTTTGTATGACATTTTCGTGTATGTATGTTTTTCTTTAACCTCCAAAATGTAGCTTAAAACGGCAAGTAAACAAGGATTTGAAGAGTTGCAATTTTCAAGAGATATAGCAACTTGAGAACTATCATATTTATAGTTTGTTTGGCCAAACTTCTCCGAACCAAGTATTTAGTCAAATTTTTAAAAGAAAAAAAATATTTTTGAGGAGAAGCAAAAGCAGAAAAAAAATAGTTTCTCCCCCAAAAGCACTTTTTTGAAAAATACTTTTGAGAAATATACACTTAGAAGCACATTTTAAAAGCTTGATCAAACACTAATTGCTGCTCAGAAGTATTTTTTAAATTAATTAGCCAAACACAAACGGCTTCTCACCAAAAATACTTTTGAGAAACATATTTTAAAATAAGATGATTTTTGAAGTTTTACCGAACAATCCATCACAGAAAGTATATTTAAATGTACATGTGGGGTGAAGAGGAGTTTGGAGGATCATAATTCATAGCATAATAGGACCATTTATGAAGATCAGCATAATGAAAGATTAGGAGGTATGGCCACTCATTTAGCTAGCTAGTAGTTGGGTTTGGACACACTCATTGAATGTCAAATGAGAGGACACTTGTCACAAGCCATGAATTTTGTTTAGGTTGATAGTCCCTTTCTGGACTCTCCTCCATACCGTGCTGTTTTGGGCTATCCATCAATAATTAAGGAGAGCATTAATGCACTTCTTACAAAGCAAAATGAAAGAGTTATTTATTTTATTTCAGTTACACTGCTCATGACAAGTCTAATTATATTCTTATCAAATACTCTCTCCGTCTCATATTAACAATCGTAGTTACTAAAAATAGTTATCTCAAATAATTTATTATTTTATAAGTTCAAGAAAAAATTAATTATTTTTTTTCTTTTTTACCCTTAGTAATAATTGTTATTGAAGATGGAGATAACACATAAATAGAATAAATATTTAATGAAGAGAGATCATATTTTATGACATAAATAAGGACAGAATAGTCCAATCTCTTTCCTAATTAATATTTTTTAAGGGGCGTGTAAAAGAGAAACACGACACATAATATGAGACGGAGTAAGTATGAATCTGGATTTAATGTATTAATGATGTAAAAATATTTACACAATCACAATGCTTATAAGATAATTTACACAAACATCAAATAATTAATAACTTGATAAAAAAGATAAGTGACATAATCTAAAATGTTAAATCTCGTTAATAATATCAAAGATCTGTTAACACTATCATATACTATAACTTAAATCCTTCAAATATAACTAAAGCGAGTCCCTACTTATATGGAAATCCCACATCTACGGAGAAAAACTAGAGATGTTTGCTTTGAAGGGAAGTAAAGTTTTGAATAGGGGGAAATTGTTTAAACATCTGGTGCAAGGTTTCAAGTGATCTGACAAGTGATGTCAGTAATTTGGCTGCATTCCTAGGAGGATGGTGAGCAGTATAATTCTTCATATTTAGGAAATAGGGGATGAACATACTTTTTAAATAATTATTTTTCAGTATATCTCAGTTAATTTATTTATTCTATCCGGAGATCCTCGCAAAGTCCCACTTAGATTTTCCTCGAGCTTTTTATCCAAGAGCTTTCTAGAGATGTACTTATTACTATTATTTCTATTAGCAATCAACATGTGTCCAAGAAAACTTTAATTTGCTTCTTTAGCACAAAAGGTCGTACTGTTCAGTATTCATCACGGAATGACACGTTATATTACTTGTTTCATCTGAATATGTTACATTGTTACTTATTATCTAACTTTTCTTTGTTTAAGAAAATTAAACTTGGGCATGGAAATATAGAAAGGATATTGTTTACAAATTGAGTAACAATTAAACTTATATTCGTGGTTTTAAGGATATGTGATTTAAACCAATACCAATTGATAAACAACGAATTAAATAGATAAATTGGACAATAAAATAAATCAAACCGGTCCACAAACAATACCTCGATCTCGATTCGAAATAGTCTCGAAGTTAGTTAATAAGAACAGTGGAGGATGGAACAAACAACGATGAACAGTAAGTAAAACAAAGAAAGCAACGTATATGTATATTCTTATCAGTGAATAATCATTGTGTCTTTACAAGTGAATGAGATCCCTCTTTATATAATAGAGAAATCCTAAATAAAGTACAACTCTAATAACAGAAGTAGATCCCATGATTGGCACTAATAACCCCTTTGGTTTGATAATTTCGGGATTATCACCGGGATCTTCGACCGGATACTGATATCTCGACATTCCGTTATTGCCTTACTCGAAGTCAGTCATGTTTGATCTCGATTGTTGCCGGCCTCGATCTCAATGAACACTTCGATCTCTCATGTGTGATGTTTCTATCTTTAAGCTCGAGCCCGATCTATTATGAGGTTACCCTCGAGACAACTCCCCTGCCAACAAAATCGGGTATGTCCGATTTCAACCGTATACAAATAGTCCCCTCATTTTTAGGATTGTAAAGAGAAGAAACGAATTTGAGACTTCGATTTAACACCTCGATCAATTATGACGCCAACATCATGACGTAAGCGACATAAGCGATTGAAGCGTCGCGTCTGCGCAGTTCCCAAGGTCATTAATTAATGCCAGTTGATGGTCGTCCACCAGTGCTTTGAAACCATCAAAGTGGCTATTATAAATAGACAACCTTCATAATCTTTTCAAACTTTACTTTCAAACTTCTTCTAATCTTCAAAAGCTCTTATATTCTCTTCACGTCCATCAACTTTGTCAATTTTTGTTTTTCAATCTCTTATTAAAACGCAAATTCCGCCTTTTCCTTCTTAAACCTCATATAGCAATGGCAAAAATATCAAAGATCGTTCCTCAAGATGAAAAGGCCTCCTCATTGCGGCCGGCCGGTGATGAAACACCGGTAGCCACGTATCGAAAAGTGCATCCCCGGGCCATGTGAACTTACTTCCGACTTTAAAGTCGAAAAACCCTCTTCGGTTCCTGGCCGATGCAAGCCCATGTCTAAATACATCTGTTTGATATCCGAAGTTGGTCTCGAGCAGGTGAAAAAGGATTTCCACTGGGAGAATAAAGAGGTGGTGATTCCTACCCCCGAAGAGGACATCACCACTCATGTAAAAGGGTTCTTAAGTGTGTATACTTACCCTTTCATATTGGGTTCCGTCGATCCTGTCATAATCGACTTCTGCGGCCAATACTAGGTAACCCTAGGCCAGATCCACCCCTCTTTTTGGCGCATTGTCATTTTGCTCAGATTTTTCTCGAGCAAGATCGAGGGGATGTCTTTCACCCTCGATCATCTCATTAGGCTATACAACCCCCGTCTTAATCGGGGAGGACTGATAAGGCTTCAGCGCCGGGACACGAAGGTGCTATTCTCGAGCATAGACGAAGATAAGGACCGAGGATGGATGTGCCGGTTTGTCCGAGTCAGAACCTCCGATTTAATCCCTGCCGAGAAGATGTCATTCCCTGAAGAATGGAATATGAAGCATAAGTAGAACTTCACCGATAACGTTTGATTACTTGTTATGTTTCCTTTACCTCTTCTCATCTATATTTTTCTTTATGGTGCAGCTTCCCCCTGGGTTCCTGGTGTAGTCCTGGACCTTGCAGGTTGGGTTCGATAACTGGTTTCAACCTCTTCGTATGCTGAGCGCTCGTGGCATGATTTGGCCAAGGGTCGATGGGAGTCCAAAAATTATGGTAAGTTCCCCTATCCGTGTTTGATGCTTTCTTGTGAAATACTTCTTTTTAACTTGATTTCTTCTCATACACGTCTTAGAGATAATGTCGTTATGAGGCCGCCTCCCCTCGGGGAAGAGGAGGTCCCGAAGCCGACCAAAGACAAGAAAAGGAGAAAGGCCTCGCCACTAGATACCCCAAAGCCCAAGAAAAGCAGGGCTCGAAAGTCGAAGACTGATCTCGCCGTTCTGCCTGCCGATGTAGTCCAAACGCTACGAGATGAAGATGAGGAGGGAGAAGATGTCGAATGTCTACTGGTGGCTCGGAAGAGGGGGCATCAAAGTTTCAAGAACTGCTAAACCGGTGACGGTCGAGGAGGTTCAGCCGCAGACCGAGGTGATCTCGAAGGAAGGTCCGAGCAAAGTCCTCGAGTCATCGGGTGTCGAGGATGCCTCCTGCATTGATGATTAACCGGTGGGTGTGCTCTAAGGTCTAGTTCTGAGTCCCTTCAAAGAGAAGAGAATGCCCCAAGTGTGAGGCAATTAACATTGATGATTCGCTGCCCGGCCCCACGTTCTCTGAGGAGCAGTTTCGGGATGCCCGGTCCATGGGGACACCCGATGTGGGGACGGCCCCCGAAGGGGATGATATATTTCGCA